GGGTAATTGGTCAATATGTGATCAAGAGGGGCATCAGCCCGTGTATTGAATGAAACAAGATCATCAAAACCCAGAAGGGTAATGGGCCGAAAACTCGCACGGTTAAAATCACCGCACAAAAGAATAAGATGGTCTGAGGATTGCATCTCGCAATTCACCACCGACATCCGCCACATTGATGGCCCGAAGAATGCGGTGGCCGACATGCTGTCCAGTCCTTTCACCTCTCACACGGGATTGATCTTGTAGCAGCCGCTCCAGCCCCCCTTTTCTCCGGCTCCGTTTTGTCGGTCGATGGCCGCGACAAGCACTGACAGGCCGCTGACACACGACCACCCCCGCCGGCTAGAACTGGTGCACCTCCTGTCCAGCTGCAGTGACCCCCGGCTGCACTCACAAACTAGTATCACCTAGCGCGCGTCGAAAACTTTGGCTTGATTCCCGTGAGGCCTTGTGAGTATGCGCCCTCCATTCCTCCCCTAATTTGTCCAATCACACGACTATCACTCAGACAGTCATTCCCCCCCTTCCTGCTGACCCAGACACACACGCCCGCGTAAAGACACACCGCGACTGACGCTCTCCGTGAACGGACGCTTTTCTCTGTTGCAAGCAAACAGCTAACTTACGTCAACCTGCCCTGTGTACAGAATAAACTAGTCCTCACAGCTCCCTGACTTCTGACAGTAGACGAAACGAACTTATTGTGCGTGGTTTAAGTTGATCTCACATCCTTGACCGCCACAATCTTGATGCTATGGCGACTGAACAATGACGTGTTGGATGCCCTGGCGACGAGTCTGTTGACAGTCTTCAATTAGTTGACGTCCCATTGACCACCGGCACCGGCACAATCCTTTGTGACGTATCGACTCCTTTTCGTCGCCCTTATGTGCCTGCCTCGATGCGTTGAGCTGTTTTTCAAACTCTCCACGGACTCTCCCATCCTGGGTTTCGAGCCTCACAGAAGCTCCTCGCGGAAAGGTTCGTATGGCCTGGGTTAAACAAGGATGTGAAAGCTTGGACACGATCGTGCCTTTGCTGTTAACGTAACAAGGTTCAACGCCACGACAACTCTCCATCGGGCACGTCTCCCAGCCCCGATGCACGGTTCAACCATGTGCATTTAGATGTCGTCGGTCCTTTACCTCCATCCAATGGCTATACTCACCTTCTCACCTGCGTTGATCGCTACACCCGTTGGCCGGAAGCCATTCCTTTATCGAATGTGCAAGCCGAGACCATTGTGAAAGCCTTTGTCAGTCGTTGGGTCGCCATATTCGGTGCGCCATCCATGATTACGACTGATCGAGGCGCGCAGTTTGAGTCCACACTTTTCCAAACTCTCCTCAACTTCCTTGGCTGCACACGTATTCGGACGACGGCCTACCACCCAGCTGCCAACGGCATGGTTGAGCGTTTCCACCGCCAGCTAAAAACTGCACTGCGTGCCGCAGAAGATCCCGAAAACTGGTCAGACAATGTACCCGTTGCACTTCTTGGCATTCGTGCGGCACCGAAGTCAGACTTGGACTGCAGCGCAGCCGAATTGGTTTTCGGCACTACCCTCCGACTCCCTGGTGAGATGGTCACCCCAACCTCTCGTGGTACCGAAGAGACCCCCGAAAATTTTGTGCATCGTCTGCGACAATTCATGCGCTCG